CTTACAGTATGAGCCTTGATGTAGCACATGCACCATGGAGCCTCTACCCATCATGGGCCACCCAGGATCCTCAGCTCCAGGTCTTCCCTGCTTTGAGCTGCTTGATGGAAATAGCCGTACCAGTTGGACCAACAAGAGCACGTCTGTTTTCCGATCTAATGTATTTTTCTGGCCTGCCTAGTTGGCCATGTCTGGGCATAGCACTTAGTAATTCTTGCTAAATCTACCCAGTGAAGACTTCCTTTGGAAGGGTGCAATTTACTGTTTTCTTTCTTTTTTTTTTTAATTTCTTTTTGACTTGGGTCAAGTGAGTCCTGTTGCAGTATCATCCAGTCACCACCTCCTGAGCAAACAGAGAACAGGATGGGTCTCTGACAGGCTGTTTTCCCTCCGTCTCCGAAGCCGGCAGAATACGAGCTGTTCTCCAGAGGCGATCCTGGAAGGGCAGTTGGCTGTTTTCTTTTAAATTTTAAAATTTCTTGCCTTTCTCAGGCAAAAGCAGATCACATTTATGAGCAAAATCTGTTATGAGGACTTTTTGTAGCAAAAAATAAATTTCTTTTCATAAACTACAACTCACTTCCCTAAAAATGCATTTAAAGAAATACTAGATGAGAATCAAGAGTCATTGTATACAGCAATGTTACACATATAAAAAGTTCACACCCTTTGACATGTTCCTATAAATCCCACTGTGTCTTTCAGGAATAATCATCTCAGGTTGAGAGTGACTAGCCAGCCAGCCTAGAACCCTCCCCTCCGATGCCCATCACGTCATGATCGCATAAAAACAACCCACTCCCTGTGCCTGTAAATCAGATTCTTTTACAACAGTTTCCAAAACTTACAGACAGTTTCTCAATTTGCAATGCAGAATCTGGGGCTTATGTCCAATATGAATATTCATTTTGGGGGGCATACTTTTTTTTTTAACCTTCAGTTTTACTCTTTCAATTTTTATCACGTTTTACACACCATACTGTTATTGAGTATTGTTAGTTCTTTACACAAAATGACGTATCAGCCATGCTCTCTCTTTTAAATTGTATGAGTTCTTTGAAATTGGCTTGTATTTTTTTCCTTGAGATTATACAAGGATACATGATAGCTTATAGGGATTTAGGGAGAAAAATCCTTCCATGTGCCTGGTTAGGGGATCTCCCACTCAAACTAGATCTGACCACAGCTACTTCTACGCACAGGGGAGCCGCAGCCAGCCTCTAAAGAGAGAGATAGCTAATGTCCACAGGCTCAGGCCCAGGAACAGTTTTCAGCGTCTTTATGACTGTATGCTTCGAGAAAGTCATCAGGGTACGATGCGATTCCACTGGATTAGGAAATCAGACATGCGATATATTGTTGTGCTGTGTGCTTGCGGGACCGAAAATGGGCAAAACATACATGAAATCCAAACTGATAGTGGAAGTTCACATTTTCAAATGATGACTCTTAGTAGAATTGACTTCATCCTTTGAATGTCATAATTTACCGATCATATTACTTCAGTAATCAATAGGATCTTTAAGTTAATCTATTAGCTATCTGTTTTGGCCTGAGAATTAAATTGTGAAACTGTCAGAGCATTCAGTTTTTTGAGTGGTGCTCATTTGCAATGGTGGCTATTCCCATCGGAGTAGGTAAGCAGAAAGATGTCATTTAGATCAGAGTCGTAAACAAAAAGAAGGGAGTCCACACTCTGAAGGGGGAAGAGTTAAAAATAAATTGTCAGAAAGAGCTTTAACTTGTTTTTAAATTTATACTTAGAGTTGGGGATCATTGCTTGGCCCTAATCTGCTATGATGCTATTTATAAAATGGAGGAAATAGAAAGGGTTCATATTAAAACATTGAGGCTAGTTAACCTATTATTGTTTCTATAAAAAAAA